GAGAGAGAGAGAGAGAGAGAGAGAGAGAGAGAGAGAGAGAGAGAGAGAGAGAGAGAGAGAGAGACTCTAGTTGAACAGCGAGTCAATTCGCAGTTATCGAGGTTGATGTCAGGTCGTGATCTGTTTGGTGACTGACCACCTTTAAGAAGTGGCAGACCACCTTCAAGAAGTGTCAACCTTCACGAAGTGCCAAACAGTTGGCGGTCAGAGGACTCTAGTGCTAAAAGCATTCTTAGGGGACCTTGTGGTCGTGTTCAGAACATATTGGCGTAGCACTAGATGCTCACCAAGCAGTTTTGGATGTCGGTTATATCGACACATCATAAGATGCCTTACAAGCAAGCAGCGGCTGCTTGCAGGACCTTCTACCCGGTATGGATCTTTGAGAGCAGAGTTTCGCACTCCACTGTGAGATCCACGTCGGATAGGTGGACCTGTCATCCTACCACTGTTAGCTGTAGTCATCCTGAGGGAGTCAATGAGATGAGGCCCCGACAAAGAAAACTCTCAGTGGACTTTGCTGCCGTGTTTTTGGAACTTATTGGCGTAGCACTAGATGCTCACCAAACAGTTCTGGATGTCGGTTATATCGACAAATCATAAGATGTCTTACAAGCAAGCAGCGGCTGCTTGCAGGACCTTCTACCCGGTGTGGATCTTTGAGAGCAGAGTTTCGCACTCCACCGTGAGATCCACATCGGATAGGCGGACCTGCCATCCTACCGCTGTTGGCTGTAGTCATCTTGAGAGTCGATGAGGTGAGAACCCGACAAATAATACTCTTAGGAGACTTTGCTGCCGTGTTTGGAACTTATTGGCGTAGCACTAGATGCTCACCAAGTAGTTTGGGATGTCGATTATATCGACACATCATATGATGCCTTACAAGCAAACTGTGGTCGGATCCTGTCCCCCATCCTCGGCGCGGATCTATGAGAGCAGATTTGACGCAATCCACCGTTAGATCCACATCGGAGAGGCGGAGCGGTCATCCTACGGTTGTTCAGTGTAGTCATCATGTGGGAGTCGACATCACAAGAACCCGACGATGTTTCAATTGGGACGTGCTTTTTTTTCGTGATGTGCAGGTGCTTACCGGCGGTGCGTTCGATCCCCCGCTCGACGTGAAGCAAAGTGCGAGGGAATTGCTCAGGGCTCACACCAGAAGTGCGATTGAACTCGCACTTTGATGGAGAAGCAGTTGCGCAGTCCATCAGCGCGACGATTTAATATGGACATTGGCTTGTCATTTGGATATTACAGGTTGAAAACGCCATCAAATCTTTCTGTGTAGAAGATTCATATCCATTCATACAAGTATCTCTTGTCATCGCAAACATCGAGATGAAAACATCTCAAGTCAAATTGCAAAGCACACAGAGACATCGCAAACATCGAGGTGAAAACATCTCAAGTTGCCTAGTGTTTTTCCAAAGGTGAAGTCTCACAGCACACCAACAGTTTCCAGAAACCATTCAATGCAGAAAATTCATTCAAGGGCAAATTGCAAAGCACACAGAGACGTTTCAAAAAATCATTGAACGCAAAATACCATACAATCCCACATTGCAAAGTGCACGGAGGCTTTCCAAAAATCACAAAGTACATGGAACCAAAGTGCGAAAATGTTCTGATTTCTCATATGGAACCAACAGTTCAATCACAAATGTACGGCATCCAAAGTGCGAATACGTTCGCATTTCTCATACGGAAACAACAGCCAACATTCCGTGGAGAGCACGAGATGTATTCTGGGGATAACAAAATTGGTAATCATTTAGTGCACCGCTGAATCCATAAAACAACTTCAAGCACAGATACATTCTGGCGACAATTGGTTTTCGAATTGAGAACAAGTTCGCAACTGTCATAAGGAACCAACAGACATCATTCAATGGAGACAAGCAGAGGGGGTGAACCGTAAAACGGGACGGCACACGCAGAACAAGGGCGAGCCAAAACATATGAAAACTGGGTGGTCGGGGTGGGGCGGGGGAGAGGGGCTTTCACACCACAAAGTCTCGCGAACGAAAGAGATAAGCACGAAACAATTTGGCGACCAAGAAAAAAATGTCCATATCTTTCAGTAAGAGCATGAGTGCAAAATGTTTACAAGAGGACGAAGACGTCCCATGAGTAACAGAGCAGCACAACCTCGAAACAAACAAATGCAGCACGACGAGGCAAACGCAGCACGGTGCTGCCACGGTCTGAAAGGCAGGATATTCACATCCCATATTTAAGCGTCTACTTAAAAAATACTGCACCATGTGGCTGAGATATTTACATCGGCATCTAAGATTGTACTTCACGTAAGCGTCCGCTACAACCCTCTAGCTGATGTTGCGCGGTAAGCAATGAGAACAACCCGAAAACAAACAAAGGCAGCACGGCGCTGACGAAAGTCCAATGAGTAAAGATGACAGGTTCCTCAAATTGAAGAACCCTTAAAAAATTGCTACAACACGAGGCTGGGATATTCACATCCACACCTAAGCGTTTACTTGACCAAAGCGTCCACTGCAATCCGGTACCTCATCAAAACAACAGCACAACTCGAACCGGCCGACTGGTAGATCAAGTGGGAATAAATTCACACTTCTGCTTATGGCATTTCGGAAAAAAAACTACGCGTATATTAACAACAGTGGTATCATTCAGCGCCTTGGAGTATGTCCACCGCAATCCTAAGCCGAATGTTTAGAATAACGCTTTTGGCTATCGGAAATGGTGGCAGACAGCCGCGTGCAAGAAATGAAGCGAAGGCGAGCATGAAAACACCGCAGCTCAACCCATCCGATTGTTGAGGGACACCACGAACAACCACATTGGGCTTCTGGAGATCCACTTTCGTTTTTGGACCATAATGACAAACTGCTTCGTCACGGAGGTATTGCGTGAAGTTCGCAATCACATCGGAAGAAAAACCGCCATCGTCTGTACGAGGGAGTCGTAGTACTCCAGCCGTTGTTCTTGGAAACACAATAGGGTCCAATGCACTCCATGTTTATGGACAGGAATCAAGACCATCTCGTACGAGAAAATATCCACATCTTTTGTCCATCTCGCAACCCTATCATGTTGATAGCCGCCACGGACGAGCTTGGTATAGAAAAAGGGACTGAAAATGTAAAGAGAGGGACACTCAGGCAACGCAGCGTTGGCAAGCAAGGCTAAGTACGACTCCACCACCTCGTCGGAAAACCATTTCCCTTGAACAAGAGTTTGAAGACTTTTTCTGCTCAACGAAATTGAACTGACCCCTTTGCGAACCGAGGACACCACCTCGTGGCCATTGCTGAAATCTTCACAGACGTTCCGCAACATTCTCAAGTCCGTAGCGCTAAGCTCCTCAGTAGGCAACGGAACGCGAAAACATGATGTAGCCCCAGCTGCACAAACACCCACGAACAAGTGTGGGGAGTGAGCACAAACCCCGAGGCGGAATGACTAAGAACTGTCTGCCCTTTTTCCATAAAAGTTGTATCCCCGACTGTTGAATGTGTCCTTCGCGATGTACTTAGGACACGGGTCTTTCAAGACACCCCGTTTGCCATCGTCATCAGACCCATCAGACAAAGTAGTAACGCTCTCAATAGACGCAGCCAAATGTTTCCGCAGACCTTCCTCCTTATCTATTCCACAAGCCTTCTAAACCCTGACAGCTCTCTGGGAAAGGCGAGGCATCTGGACCCTTTTAAACAATCCTACACTTGACGACTTCTTCGGTAAAGCGGCCAATGACCTCCCTGAAAGACGTTTCTCGCGCACGGCTTTTAAAGGCTTCATGGGCAGGGACATTGACAGCCTCACACCTGTAGAACATAGAAAACAACCCACAACCCACAAGCTTTTTTTTAACAAGTAGTAATAGGTACATTAGCCCATGACATCAATTTGGACGAACACAGAGCTAGCTAGTGACAGATATGTGAGTGGTTCTATTCACAAATCTTACCGTGCTCGGGAGCCCTTTGAGGGAACTCGCCCGCCTGTCGCGCCACTGCGCCAATGTCCACGGACGATTCGAGGTTCTGCACCTCGGCCACGGTTGTGTCGCTAACCAGCTCGGTGGCAGCTAAGTCGCTTGGCAAGTCGATGGGTTCATGAAGCACCATTTCTCGACCGGTACTGATGACAAATGCTCGATCACCCTGTTTGGCACCGCAACGGGTGGACGGAGAATCATGATCTTTCCGCTCTGGATCCATCTTAATGCTGACGGCCACCTCACCGCCTTCTATGGACAAATGGACGTTCTGCATCTCTGCCACGCCTGAGTCGCCAACCAGCTCGGTGGCTGCCGAGTCGTCACCCAACTCTATGGCTTCATGAAGCGCCATTCCCCGAGCGGTGCTTAGGATAGACGGTCGACCACCCTGTTCTTCACCGCAACGGGTGGGCGAACAATCACCATCTCTTCGCTATGGATCCGTCCGGATGTCGACAGTCACCTCACCGCCTTCCACCACGGGTTCTCCGCCTTCCTCATCGCCATGAACCCGAGCTTCCACCATGGGTTCTTCTTCGTCTTCATCGTCGCCAAGAACGGGAGCTTGCACGGACGTCGACTGACTTTTCTTAACGACACCCTCTCGCGTCGTGGCCACAACCGAGCGACTGTGCAGAACCTCTTCGGACGTCCCGATCACCAGCGCTCGTGCGTGGAGCCACTTCACGTCTTCACGAGCCGGCCCGTGTCGAGTCTCCTCTCCCCGCTGTAGAGCATGCGTTTCCCTCGGAGCTCCTGCACTCTCGCTGCCAGTGTCCACGGGCGCACCCTCCGAAGCATGACGTTCACACTCGCTACCCCCGTTCTCCAACACTTTGCGAGACTGCCAGCGGTAAGTCTCCTCTTCCCGATGTACAACACGCATTCCCGGAGAGCGCTCCTCCTCCCCAGGAGTGTGACATTCGTGCTCGCCACCCCCGGTCTCCAACACTCCTGCAGGGGGCCCCTCCAGCCCGTCGCGAGACCGCCAGTCTCGAGTCTCAACACATGAGAACGGAGGCGAGCAGGGCAACCCTGTGTCCAACTGAAGATGCGGGAGGCAGGACGTGACATTTTCTTGGCCCTGCGGAACTGTTGCGTGAGGAACACTTATGGCGGAGGGCGACGTCAGCAAATCCGAATGTATTCGGAGTTTGTGGCGGTCGCCCGAGCCGAGGGAACCGAAGGTCGCACCTTTGCTCCTTCGCAATATAGGCATCCCGCCCTCTAGGCAAAACGAAGACGCGCCCTCTTTCAGGAGCAAGATGTTGAGCACAGGAGACCTCTGTTGCGCACGGCGGGATGGACTGTCCTCGGCAACAAGAAACGAAGTCCTCGCAGACAAGTGCGAATCTACTCGCACTTGATCAGACGTCAGGGTGGCCTCGTCTCGCATGTCGGAATCTCGACTCCCTACGCAGTGAGGGTCAGTTTCCATATATTGGGGACTCCCGGACGTTCTACGCTTTCCGCCCGACCCCTTCCCGCCCGACCCCTTTCCGCCCGAGTCCTTTCCGCCTGACCCCTTTCCGCCGGATGCCTTCTCTACCGACGATGTCTTGCCCGTCCCCTTTCCGGCAAGCTGTGAGCCGTCTCCTCCGCCACCTCCGCCGTCTCCTTCGTCTCCTCCTCCACCCCCTCCCGGATGCTGACCGCCCGACAGAGGTTGCGGCATGCGCCAGTCAATGCCACGAGACGGTGCTGTTTCGAGTGTGTAGAAAGGAGCTCGAAACTCCAACATGTTGTTGGCGTACAACTCATTTAGCTTTTGTTCTGCATACGTAGCGACGTCCGGATCGTTCCTCCCGGGGTTCATGAGACTCAAATGCTCCACCAGAGCAGTTCTCGTTGTTCTCTTAAATGCACCCGCTCCCATTCTCTTTAGTCCACTCCACTTGCCATTGGCCTCCTTCATTGCTTTGACCCACATTCCATTCCTTACAGCAGGTTGGAATATCCTCGGGTGCCAGACGACATTGTGTCCCTAGACATCCTCCGCCGTGAACCGGTGATGCTTGCCGAAGAAGTAGAGTCTGTCATTCTGCCAGGTGTCGTGGTCCGCAGGGAGCCTGTCACAAGGTTCGTGATCATAGTCTCTGTCTTCTTCCCCGTCATCAGACGATTGGTCGTCGACTGGTTCGCCCCGAAACACACGCTTCAAATCGGCAGGGGACGTGCTATATCTTCGAGGGCCACCTTCCTCTTCATCACCAACCTGTCCAACCACCCGAGGAAGTGGCATGGACTCGAAATCGAAGGTTTTCGAGTCGCTCAGCTACTCCATGTCTTCAGCGTCGAAAGGGTCCTCCTCGTCAAACTTTGACTTGTAGTTTTCCAAGGTGAGCGGTTCCGCCAGCGTGAAGTAAACGTGCTCCAGCCTTCTCAGGAAATGCGAGACAGACTCTGTGGGTGCATCGTGGTACCCATTGAGCACACCGAACACCAGGTTTCTCCGTCGACTGTATTCGAGGTTGGTCGGACCAGGCAGTCCGGGTTGGAAAAGGAAGTCCCAAACCTCCGTCCTTTTGTTCCCCGGCATTTTCCAATACATGTCACGTTTGGGATCCTAGTTTCGTTCGTCGGTGGTGTGGACAAACTCGCAAGCATTGCGAGTGTCTGCAACGCGAGTCTTCACGAACTCGTGAAGGTAATCGATCATCTTCGCCTCCTTTTCCAACGCGACGATGTGCCGACCGGTGCGGAGGAGTTCCCACACGACAAACGCATGCGCCTTCCCAAAGAAAAAAACAGTTTGCCCAACTTTGCAAAAGTTTTCGAGTAGACCAAGTAGACGGGACGGGTTCCGCTCCATCTCCCCGTAAGCAGGTCCTTGAGAACTTGTCACGCCGCCGTCCTCCCACATGCTACGAGAGAACCTTTCCTCTTCCGCCACGTCGAAACACGCCACAGCCTGTCCTGATGGGTCCGACGAACACACAGCTTTCGAGCGGGCCGCCACCGTGTGTTTGGCCGGACTTGGACCATGAGCACGGGAAGCCTTTGTCGGGCTACTGGCCGGGTAGACTGCGAATGTGTTGTCTTCCAGTTTTTCGCTATTAAAAATCACGTACAGGCGGTCACACTCCTCAACCAGCATATTGCCTTCCCGGRCAGTGGCCTGCTTTTGTGCATTGCGCACCCACTTTTCTGTCCTGACGTGATGGACGCTAAGCCTGGCTATGCCTTTCAAGAAACTGAGCTCCCAACGAGAGGGGAAAAAGACCACAAGTGCCCAGTGCGTTGGCGAAAGTGTTTGGAGAACGCCTTGCAAGTTCGCGAAATCGTCTTTTCGCCAGTCTGTGAGGAGTGTGGGATCACACAAATCGAGGACGTACAGGTTGCACACGTAATGTCGCACAACCTCACGGATCGCAGTGACATGACTGTGAGCTTGGGAAGGCGAGAAAGCGAAAGGAATAAGGCTGGTCACCCGGTTGAGGTCGGACCATTTGATGTTCCTCACATCCCCGCTGACCCTGATCGTGTCTCGAACTTCTTCTTCCGTCCGTCGCAAGATGGAACGAACAGACTTTTCGAAAGATTTAGGGAACCTGTCATCATCGTACAATCTCTTCGCGTCATCGATGGACTCCTTCTCGTGCGGAAGAGTACGTTTGCAAGTGTTCACGTACTCCACCGCGCCCTAGAAATGCTTTCGCATTTCGACCCACACCTGTTTCGTGAGGCCCTGCGACCCGAACTCCTCTAGAAGCTTCCCCTCGGTCCGAAAAAAAGGGCTCCCATGGTGCCAAACACGTTCGTCCTCCTCCGTTTCAAGGAACAAGATGTAGTGGAACATACGGAGCAGCACACGGTCCACTTTCCTCGTCGTGACCATGTCTTTAATTCCTGGTTTATGCTGACGCTTCAGATGGCCGCCCGCGGATTGCACGAACTCTCCCCTTAGCGCGAGAATGTCGTCAAGGATCGACAGTTTCTCGACATCGGTCATATCGGCGAGACACTGCCAACAGAACATGTCTGGCTCCTTCACGACCACGAAAACTTGTCATCCGCTTGCATTTTCTTTTTGGTCGGAGGCGGCGAGACCCGTACCAGCCACCCCATCTTCGTTTCACCAGCCGCCCCTTTCGAGCCCATTTCCGAAATTGCTTGCAGACCCGGAGATTTGTCTGGCATGTATTTGCCCGACCTCGACAATGGCGTCTTGCCGTCGCCGCCCAACAACTTCCCCTCCACCCATTTCGCATAGAACTCCATGGCTTTGCGAAAAACGTCATCACCGGCCGTCACGAGCGGCATCCACTGCCTCAATGCATTGCCAACGGCAGCGACATACTCCTTGTCGGCGAGCGACAAATCTTTTTTTGCCAACGACCAGTGAGCTTCATTCGGACTCTTTCCCAAAAGCAGCTTTTGGAATTTGAAGAACGCTCGCTTTTCGGCCTCCTTGTCGGTTCCCTTGAATGGCCACCGACCTTCCTTCATTCTCCCATGCCTCCCGCATGTCCAAGAACGCGGCCTTCTGCGATCACTGCTTAGACATCTTGTGTCTCGTGTTCTCGTTGAGACTGACCTGCCCGCGAAATCTTGGTCGGAGAACCACACTACTCTTGCCGGCCATGAGTGCATCTTCCACAAATCGAATATTGGCTCACCCTCCAACTCCTTCACAGCAGCCACGGTGTGTTGTCCGTTAATAGGGTAATAGTAGTACTTGTCCTTGTCCTCTGGCTTGAAGACATCTTTGTGAACCCTGTCAGCTTTCTCCGGAGTACGCGTCACCGGCTTGTAGATGGGTGCCAGAACCAGAGGGTTTTTCGTCCAGATATTTCCCTTTTTCTCACGGAATTGACTCAGCATCGCATCCTTTATGTCGTCCACAGTTTCGCGACTTAGACTGCGGTGGTTGTAATATCTTTCGCAAGGCGGGATGTCGAAGACCTTCCAGGGGTCGATGAGCAGTTTGACGGGGAGCTCCTTCTCCACGATTTCACCGACATCGTTCCGCTCGTATTCGAGCTAGAACACTGCCGCTTCGTCGCACTCCTCATCGACAGGCCCTTCGCCACCGCTCGCCGCCTTAGCAGTCTTCCGCCTTCGAGGTTCCTTCTCGCCATCGCCTTCTTCAGCTGCCACTTTCCGTTTCGATTTCCCCAAAGGTTCTCTCGCTGCCGCAGCGTCTGGATTAGCCGAATTTCCTCCACCCATGGCTTGTCCTTCGCGGATGGTCAAACTGTCGGGCCTCCTGGCTTTCTTATTTGCCGTCTCAACCTCTTCCTTCGGCATCCTCTTTCCCGAGGCACGTCCTCCGACGTCACCTCCAACCCCGCCCATCACCGCCTCCGATTTCCCTCTCATCCTCTTCATGCGGAGGGTTCCCTCCGCCACCTCCTCTCGCACCATCCTCTATCGCTCGCGCTTCTTCTCCGAACTCCGAAGGAGTCTGCTCCCCGCCAGAGCTTCCGCGGACAACGCCCATCCCTTCAGCCTCATTCCCTCCGACATCTTGCCCCGATCTGCCGGATTTTCTTCTCGTCTCATCTCGAAGTGAATACGTGTCGCCGCCGAAGTGGACCTTGAGGAGTTTCGGAGTACCGACCCGTTGAGTCCCTATACCCTGAGAATGCAAGTCCGACATGTTCCCAGGAGCATCCGGGCCGACCTGCGTGCGAACGCTGCGCGCGAGCCCCTTAACCCGACCCCCAACGTCCTGAATCGCACTACCGCGCCCCACTGCCGTCCCTGGAGTTTCTTGAGCCAAGCCGGACGACCCCTCATGGGGTGGCAGAAGCCTAAAAACATGATCTCGCGGAAGAACCGGACGTTCTTTCGGCACCATCATCGCGAGCTCGAGATATTGCTCTGGCGATGGAAGACGCTTGCTGCCGCCATCGTAAAGGCCTTTGAAGTGAGAGCAGAACGTCATGCTCGAGCCGTACCCCGCGAAACTCTTGATGGTCACCAACACACCCTTAACACCTCTAAGAGGCAGTCTGCACTCGTCATAGAAGCCGTTAGTTTCCAGCTTGAGCAAACCTCCAGAAGTCTTGGCGCACGAGACGATGGTACCGAGAGGAGGAACATTGACCGCTCCCCCAGCATCTGGAACGCAACCGGGTCGCATGAAAACAGCTGGCCCAAAAAGGTCCCCCTGAACAATGAAGTCCAAAAACCATTTTGCTCCCATTGCGTGTATATACTGAGGAGTAGATTGCTGAAGAGGTCGTCCCTCCCCGGGGGCAGATGGTCCAGCGCTTGTGGATGTGTTCTTTGCGGACGCCATTGTACTCCCACCCGTTGACTAACACGCTCAACCTCAGACCACTACAGAAGCGAAGTGCGAACTAACTCGGACTTATCGAAATGGAGGACGAAAAGGACGTAAGAGATGGGTATTCGAAATGCACACGAAGTCACAAAAATCGGGTGAAGGATAGGAAAGACAACAGTCCTCTTGCAGAGTGCGAACGAGCTCGTTGTCGTAGAATCGAGGAAGAGGTGATTTATCTTTAGGAAAGTACGAACTAACTTGGAGTTTCGGGAATGAAGTCGTCTACAACAAGTACCGCATGGGTATCGACAAGGGGGAACCGACGTGCAGTTCCGGGCTAAAAAAAAACGAAGAATGAGATTGGTGTTTGAAATGCAAACGAATACAAAACAATTGGGTGGCTGGCAGAGTGAGTTCGGAGGGAAGACGACGACTCTTCGGAAAGATTGCGACCCGACTAGACGCCCTCGAAACGAGTAAGATGTGGTTTATCGACAAGTGAGAAGGGTGTCGACAAGTGTGAACTAACTTGCAGTTCTGTAGAGAAGACAACAATGGCAACCCGCAGCACTAGGGGAAAGTGTGAACTAACTCGGAATTGTGGAACTGAAGACCTGAAAGACGCACGAAACGAGTAAGATGTGGTTTATCCACAAGTGCAAAGGGTGTCGACAAGTGCGAACTAACTCACAGTTCTGCTGACAGGACAACAATTGCAACCCGAAGTACAAGGGGAAAGTACGAACTGACTCGGAATTGTGAAACTGAAGACCTGGTTTATCGACAAGTGCGAAGAGTGTCGACAAGTGCAAATTAACTCGCAGTTCTGTAGACAAGACAACAATGGCAACCCGCAGCACTGGGGGAAAGTACGAACTAACTCGGAATTGTGGAACTGAAGACCTGAAAGACGCACGGGATGGGTTATCAACTCCTTCAGCAGTGTTGCTGAAAAAGTACGAACTAACTCGCATTTGTGGAAATAAAGAACTGCCTTTAATGAAATATGTGTCTACCCTTGGGAACACTGCGAATTACCTCGCAGTTGTTACTCCTTGAACACTGTACGTCGCAAACAGGGAACTGATTCGCAATATATCTCTCTATATATATGTGTATATATATATATATATATATATATATATATATATATATATCAGGTCGGCGACCTCACAAGGGACAGGTGAGCAAAAATCGGGAATTGATTCGGTGTTCAGTGTAGCAATATATCTATATATATACATATATGTATCTATATCTATTTATATATATATGTAGATATCAGGCCGGCGACCTACAAGGGACAGGTGACCAAAAATCGGGAATTGATTCGGTGTTCAGTGTAGAAACTAGGTATTGATTCGGGGTTCGCCATGCGCAGCGACGACTACAAGTTGCGAAGGGGATCGAGCAGCTTTATACAAACGTTCTCGTGGCTATGGCGAAAGGTAATCGAGCTGCGGAACGCATGCGGAACGCAAATCGGCTATGGTGGACGGAGGTGGAGGGTGGAGAAAAGACATCAGAACATGTCCACTAGCGAAATAACAAAACCGGGAATTGATTCAAGGTTCAACAGAACGCGGCTGCGGCGTTATATCCTGCAGGTACAGACAGGGCATCTGGGAATGTGTTCGGACGTCGGACACAGAATAGGACAACTCTTGCCTTCGTCGTGTGTTGAGCGAGCAACCAACGTCGGACGGATATGGATGTGCGACCACCGAACCAGCTATTGTGGAGGGATATCGAGCTAGGAAGAGCGAATAGCGAACCGAACACAATGTGGCAACTGCGGACAGAACGAAGAGCGAAGAGTGAGCGGGCTATGGCGGAAGGTGGTGAGGGTTGAAGACCAAATATCAGAACGCGCGCGGAACCGATAGCGCGACTCGATCTGTGGAGCGACAACAAAAGGGATAACTCGCGGGCTGCAACCCCTTTTATACTTTGCTGCAGCAGACCTCGCGTCGGGATCAAGGTGGGGCCGAATCAATTCGCATATCGCACCCCTGGGCCCATAGAACGCCATCAAGGTGGGGCCGAATCAATTCGCGTATCACACCCCTGGGCCCATAAAACGCCAGGGTCTATAAACGGTAAGGGGTACTGGAAATTGTCAGCCGTCGATCAACAATTTTCAACCGCGCAGATGAACGGAGCCACTGATATGCCAGTGGCCCCAAAATCTCCGTCAACTCCGACGTGCAATGATGTGACAGTTCCCGAAAACAAGGGGCAGGCAATGTCATTTTTGCAGTTTTAATCTGGACCGTCGATCGGACGCACGAGGTCAGGCGCAAGAATCTATAAGGTGCGGCGATTCATTGTGCGCCAAGGCAGTTCGTTGCGCGCCGAGGCCAGGCGACGGTTTATTTCCCGCCGAGGCGCGGGGATTCGTTGTGCGCCGAGGTAAAAAAAAACGAAAATCTATAAGTTCCGGTGTCGCTGTCATTCGGACATTTTGCAAATGTCAATGGCGTTGGATATCGATGCGCTTAGCCATGCACCATCGCCATCGATGCGCTTGGCTCATCGCCATCGCCAACGCTCGCCATGCACCATCGCCATCGCGACTCAAAGCTATATCCCCCATCGCAGCCGTCGCGCTCGCCTGACCATCGCACCGCTGACAATCGCCATCGCTCTCATCGCAGCGCTGGCCATCGTTGCACCATCGCAACGCTGGTACCATAGCTGCCATCGCAACGCTAGTTCCATCGCTGCGCCATCGTTATCGCTGCCATCGCAACGCTGGTTCCATCGTTGCGCCATCTCTCAATCGGTGTGCCATCGCTATCGCTATCGCTGCCATCGCTATCGCTGTTCCATCGCTGCGCCATCGCTCTCCACCGGTGCGCCATCGCTATCGCTGTTCCATCGTTGCGCCATCGCTGCGCCATCACTCTCCACCGGTGCGCCATCGCTGCGCCATCGCTATCGCTGTTCCATCGCTATCACTATCGCTGCATTGTAACGCGTTCCATCGCTGCGCCATCGCTCTCCACCGGTGCCCCATCGCTCTCCACCGCTGTGCTGGCCATCGCTATCGAAGCCCTGGCCAGTGTTATCCCACCTCAGCGCTGCGCGATTTCTCTCTCCATCGTCGCACAATCTCCCTCCATCGATGAGTGATCACTCTCCATCTCACTCTATCACAGCGCGATCTCTCTCGACCACCGGGCAACCTCCATCCTTGCCCCAGAGGCTCTCCATTACTCCTGCGCAATCCCGCCATCACCATTGTATTGTTGTTTCAGGTCGTCGTCGGCGCAGCCGCCCATCACTGTGGAATCGCACGAAACAAGTGACAGGTATGCTTAACGAAGGTTTAACTCGATGGAACTGATGTTGTGCAATACCACATCTTGGTCATCGTTGTGCCTTCTCTCTCCATCGCTGCGGCATCGCTAACCATTGTTGCGCGTCCTCTCTCCATCTCTCTCCACCGATGCGCGATCTCTACCGACCTTTCGTCATCTATCCCCATCGCTGCGGTGTCTTTCCTAATCTATCTCCTTCGTCATCTATCTCCTTCGGTGCGCTATCTTTCCTAATCTATCTCCTTCGTTATCTATCTCCATCGCTGCGCTATCTTTCCTAATCTATCTCCATCATCATCTATCTGCTTCGGTGCGCCATCTTTCTCCATTGTTGTGCTATCGCTAACCATCGATGCGCCTGCTATCTCCACTGCTGCGCCATGTTTTTCCATCGGTGCGCAATCTCTCTCTCTCGCTGCGGCACATCTCCCAATCAGTTCGCGATCTCTTTCCCTTCCTGCGCCATCTCCCTTCTTCCCCAGAATATACAACGCACGTTCATTATAGTTGTCTTTAGACTGAAAGATGACCCGAATTCAGCTGTAATGACCGGACGTTATATTCGGGGGAAGACTGTGACTCCATCCATCTCTCTTGGTTCGCCATCTCTCTCAATCGGTGCGCCATCTCTCTCCATGTATTTTCATTGATTCGCCGTCTGCCCATCGCTTCGCAATCTTTCTCCATCTCAAAAAATAGTACGTCATCTTTTCCTATTTCTCTCTTGCGACGATCTGTGGCTCGTACTATACGCAAAACAAGCCGGAAACAACATGCTCTTGTACCCGCGGTTTCGTAATGGAAATGCTCGTTCACAAGTGCGAATTCATTCGCTCTTGAACCAACCAACCCCTTAATTTGTTAATGTTTAGTCCATAGGTCAGAATTAACTCGCACTTGTACCCTCTGTTTCGTAATGAAAATGTCCGTTTGCAAGTGCGAATGTATTCGCTCTTCAACCAACCATTCCCCTAAATTTCTTACTCTTTAGTCCATAAGTCCCAGTTTCATAGTGGAAATGCTCGTTTGCAAGTGCGAATTTATTCGCTCTTCAACCAACCATCCCCCTAATTTTTTGACTCTTTAGTCCATAAGCCCCAGTTTCATAATGGAAATGCTCGTTTGCAAGTGCGAATTTATTCGCTCTTCAACCAACCATCCCCCTCAACTTGTTCCTCTGTAGTCGATAACTCGCGTCTCTTCTCGGCCCAAAAGAATGAAGTCCTTTTGTATTTGCGAGTTAACTCGCCACTGAACCAACCACGAAGGCAATTTCTTATTGCACTGCGTAATTGAAATGTTCCTCTGAAGTGCGAATTTTTTGGCACTTGAATTTTTTTGTTGTTTAGTGGATAATACCGAATTGACTCACACTTGTGTTCGCTCTTGTTCCGACCATTAACTTAATTTCTTACTGTACGTTGAATAAGTCCGAATCAGCTCGCATTTGTACTCTCGCCTGAAAAAGTGCGAGTTTACTCAGACATATCCAAACCACTTGCACGCTGAACGAGTGGGAGAGGAGTCGGACTTGAGATACCACTTGAGCCTCACATTAGGATCCGACAAAACAATATGGATTTTAATGTTGTTGTTCCACTGTTTTGTGATAAATATTAGAAATGCGAGTTTGCTCCCTCTTGTTTATTTCCCTGACCTCGTCATAAGTTGACGTGATT